GGCCCCGCGCGGCCGTGCACAGGCAGCGACCCCAGCCTGGAAAGCGTCGGCGTCGCGTTGGCACCAGCGAGGGGCTCGCACAGGGCAGAGCAACAACGGGACAAAGGGAGGATTTTCAGACACCACACACGAGCAGTGCCGGGACCTCGGCAAAGCGAGCGAGTCAGCCCCCAGCCCTGGAAACCCCTCTTGGGCAGTGCTCAGTGGAAAGAGCCTGTTGGCTCCCGGCAGCTGCTGGGCAGTGAAACGCTCCCAAATAACAGACACTGCGCTTGGGACAAAGCAAAAGAAAACGATAAGAAACCTGGCCCCATTGGGGCTGCCATCCCAGTGAGCACAAAGCACTTGAGGAGAGGGTGCCCTGAGCCTCCCGAAACAACATGCTCCTTCTAAAGTCCCAGCTCGTGGAGTTGCAGAAATGCATAAAGAGCTCAGCGCTGATGCAAAGATGAGTTTCTTCCCCTCCAGCTCACAAAGAAACCTTGAAAATAACACGTCTGAAAGGCTCAGAGACGAAACGAGAGCTGAACAGAACGTGTGCCTACTTGTACTTTCTTTATAAAGCTTCATATTTTAAACTCAGTCTCTTAAATTACACAGCTGTTACAGCAAAATGCACTTCTGTATCAGAAATGCATATTTTAAAAAGTGATGCTCATTTCCACCCTATTTTTAGAAGGCAAAACCCTGCTCACCTCACAGCCAACCTGCCTTCCTGCCGCAGCCTGACCTTCTCTGCACTGCTCTGCTCTCGCTGCCGCTTCAGCCCCTGCTCCTGGCACCTGCATCTCTGAGCAGTCCTGTGCTGCGGCTCTTGCCGCACTCCGAGCGATGTCAGGGGTCTCCTCCTCTCCTCTTTGTACTTCATGTTCATTTGGAAACCGATAAACAAATCCCTGAGTTCAAATGAAGTGTTTTGAGCCCTTTGTGATGGTGATTAAGCGTGCAAGTGCGACCTCCACATTTTAGTGCTTCTCTCCAGCTTGGTTTAAACAAAGGACCTCAACACTCTATCATAAAAAAAGACATTGAAACCGAAGTGCAAACACAGACTCGAGCTGCCTTTCCTGTCCCATCTATTTGTCAGACAGCTTCCTCAATTTATCCCTGTTCTTCCTACGGGTGAGCTAGCTGTCTGCCTGTGGGACCTTCCTATTGTTTATCCATCCTTCTGGCTTCCCTGTTCTTACACAGCACCTATCACCACGGCATCCAAGAACTGTACAAAACCCAGAAGTTCTTCCTCCATGGCAACGCGATGAGACAAACTGGCAATACTTGAACTCGCCTGTGAAAACCCACCCCAGCCCTCCGCATGCCCCAGCTCTCCAGGCTCTTACAAGGCTCCCTCAGTAATGACCATCAGCATCTTCCTGGCAGAGGCAGAAGTCCTCGTGCCAACCTCACTGTTCAGGCGGCCAGACCTTCAAAAGATCCGTACTGAATAAATCCAAGTATATTTTGCATTTCTCTTGCTAGTTTACTCTCCAGGCCTTAGTTCATATTCTCCAGCCTTTCCCTCAGCAACCATTAACATAAGAATGTTTCTTTCTTCCTTAAATAATGATGGAGATTGCCAAAGAACTGCTAAGTTCAGAGAGCTGAGGCTTGGGGAAAACATCACAAGGTTCACAGTAAAACCACGACAGCTGGCCACACCATGGGAGCAGCATCGCTCCCATAACAACACTGACTTGTAAACGCATCGGTGCTTACATATCCGTTCTTCCAGGGCAGGGACCGGGGTGGCAGCTGCCTCTGCAGCCTCTGATGGGCATTCTTCCAACGGGCAGCGCTGATCATCCATCCGGTTGCTCTGGAACTTGCTCAGCAGGTCAAAGAAGCATTCCTCGTCCGAAGGGGTCCGGTTGATTTTCTGGAAAGACAATAAAACACAGAAGAGTCAGAACGCCCCAAATAACTCCTCGCGTCCAAACGCTCCCTCTGGCAATGCGTCGTGCCCTCTCCTGGTCTGGTCAGAGGCCGGCTCCTGGCTGTGCCCGCAGCTTGCCAAGCCCCGGTGCCTGCCGGAGGTCACTGCTACTTGGTCCCTCTGTCCTCCCGGCTCTGAAATAACCTCTCCCCTTTTTCCACCCTTCAGTGTGGACAATCTTAACACCATCGTTCTCAAGGAGGCCACAGGCAGAGCGTCATGAAGGTCCCCTCTCCCACAGGGACCCCCGAGTGGGAGCAGGGTGAAGAGCTGCTCTGCGACTTGTTCTCCGTGAGACGGGGCACCCATGGAGATCTGCGGCCCCTCCAACAGGTCGCTCGTGCTGTGGCTGACCCCAGAGGCTCCAGGCACTTCTGCAGCCCAAACCAGAGCCAGGCTCCTACCAGCGAGCAGCCTCGCCTCGCGCAGAGCAGCCTCCGTTGCTGCACAGCGTCTCGAGCTCAGAAGAGCTGCTCTGCGACTTGTTCTCCGTGAGACGGGGCACCCATGGAGATCTGCGGCCCCTCCAACAGGTCGCTCGTGCTGTGGCTGACCCCAGAGGCTCCAGGCACTTCTGCAGCCCAAACCAGAGCCAGGCTCCTACCAGCGAGCAGCCTCGCCTCGCGCAGAGCAGCCTCCGTTGCTGCACAGCGTCTCGAGCTCAGCAT